AAGGATGGGTGTGTCTAGCGCACGGGACCATCGGATTTGTTGGTGAGGATTTTGGCTAAGAGAGTGAGGGAAATAGTCTTCGTTGTTAATTGGTTAAACAAAGGGTCTTAACCGCCCTCGAGAGAAAGTGGTTAGTGGGAGGAAAGTTGCAGCATACGTGAGAAAAACTAACTTTCCCTTGTCAAGCCGTGGTAGACAATAGTCTTTAGAAATTCTTCGGAAACAGACGTTTGTTTGGTTTGAAAGACCTCTACTAGGAAATTCCTGAGATTTATGGAAGATACTCGAGACTAGTGAGGGTACGCAGTGAGTATCCGAAGACATCTGGTTGCCATATTGCCCGCGGTGTGTTGCCTGGGCTAGGTAGAGGGTTACACGACGTAAGAAATTTGTTTACAAGTTTACGCAGCGTAGGAAATTCGCAAACGCACTGTGGTGGCCGGACTGTTCCCAGATAAATCGTAATAAAAATAGCCATATTCACATAAAAACCGCATATGCATTACGAATTTATGAGCTGTTAAGGGGGGGGGGTAAGGTTAAAAAATTTTTTTTGCATTTTTTTTATTTCTTTAATTGAATGCATAGCATCTTAAGAATATTGTGTCAAAATTTCAAGTCGATTGGAGCATAATTGACGAAGTTACGAGTATTTTTATACATGTCGGATGATATTACCTACTCCACCCGAGCGTGCTATTGTTACTTCGCAGACATTTTTTTCTCTATATAATACCTAATCTTACCCCCAGATCTATTTATAGTACTTAACGACTTAAGTGCAAATCTCTTTATACCTGTACTGTATATTTTGTCAGTGTAGAGTAAAAGATTTAGTGTAGAAGTAAATATTCCATTTTCATTAAGTTTTGTGTTAAATTATTACTAAAGTGCCTAAAAAAGTTACTAGATCTGATAGACAATCAACTGGTTCGAGATTATATCGACCTAGAAAAATTGTACCTCCGCATAAACGTAAATACGAAGGCACTTCAACAAATAGCGCGTCAGCTGAAAAAATTAAAGTGACTGTTGGAGATCAAATTACGAAAGATCATGAAAAATATTATAGGATAATTGATTTTTTATTAGTGTTTTCAACAATTGCTACGCTAGTGAAGAGGTAAACCGATAAAATTCGCTTATGAACGTTTTATACCAGATTATTTAGTGTTCAAAACTTTAAAGCATTTTCCCCACAACTCACGTTTTCAAAGTCGGCGCCCCCAATTACTTCAAAACTACTACACCAATGCTTTTAAAATTTTGAAAACTACTTCTCTACATAATTTGCGAGGTAACGCTATAGAGTTTTTTCAAATTCGTTAATTATTTTTATTTTAAAATGACAAATTAGCCGAAAATTTTCGCACAAAATCGCGTTTTTCCCTTCAAAGTGTTCCAAAAAAGTGAAAAATTGAAATTTCGAAAAAATCAATACAGCGTTACCTGGGCAAAACTGTTACCTAACAAATGAACTTTAACTTTTTGATTTCTGATGATCCAGCACCAAGCTCTGAGGGGCACCGCAATTATACTTTTTTCTGAGACACGTCCGAATAATTGCTGCCATTGCCGTATTTTTTAATATTTCGCCGTGAAAATTTTATACAATATTGTTCGAATGTCATACTTTAATGAACTGTTGGTTTTAGAAAATAAATTTTAACTGTATCGTCAGAAAATATTCACAAAGACATGCCTTTTTTTGTACGAATTAACCTTACCCCCCCCCCTTAATAAACGTGGCAATTCTTATATGAACAACATACAATTTCCGTACAAACCATTGATCACTGTACATTGCGATATTCACATACATACACATGAAATGAAAACCAATATGATATTTAAATTTAACTTAAATAAAAAACTATCTACTACTTATTATGTGAAATAATATTTTATCCAGCATGAATGTCACATCTAGTTTCTATTTCGTTGAATATATCATATATTTTAACGCCGACTGGTCAAGCAACTACGAGCAAACATGAGCAAACAACTTGAGAACCAAAGTGAGCCTTTAGAGCAAATGAAGCATTCTTAAAAAAGTTTTACTTTAGAACTATCTTATTTTAAAATATATTTATTTTCTATCATCATTGTTTATTGCTCAGTAGACTTTTCAATGATAAATTATTATTGTATATTATTGTCAACGAATAACTGTCTCGCAACTTTTGTTTGGTGGAGGATGATAGAGGATTTTGACATTATAATGTTGTTCTTATAATGCAAAAATGTTCATATTCAGTGAGCAGATGAATTGCTTACAGTTCTGAAATCATATGCGTATAAATAACTGCATTCTTATTAAAATATTATAGAAAAAACAAGCAATGTCATAAATGGATTTATTTAGCAAGGAGACGAGTGAAGAGACAAAATGAAAAGGATGATGAATCCCTTGTTCATAAAATTGTATTTATATTCCATAGGTTTAAACAGAAGAAATTACGTTCAAATAGTCAGTACACGACACAGTATATTATCCATAGTAAGATCGTTATACCGGACATTTTGGTGATCTGACGTATCCAGTACAACCTGAAATCAACGAAAATATATGTATTTATATTAATTCCTAATTTTTTTACACGAAGATACTTTTATATCCACCTTGATAGCCGTTGTCGGGCTGTTGACTTAAAGTCTTGTTTCAAAATAAATTTCTTAATCCCCACCTGGTACATTGCAACATACTTCTCCAAATCCACACCCCGTAAATCCAGTTTCACCATATCGCTGTCGTTCAACATTTTCACCTTCCTCGCCAAGTCGGAACAGTTATCCCTTTGGAAGTTCCATTCGTGCATGGTGAAAAATGCAAACGATGCGGCAAGCTTATTGCCATTTCTGAGAAGTTTCATCACTCTGAAATAACATTTTAAATTATTATTATAGATGAAAACAATGATTATTCCAGAAAGATTTTTCTCGTTATTCAAGGGTCGATAGAATACTCACATTGGTTTACTACCTCGAAGTCTTAAAAATATATCCATGCCGAACGCAAGAAAAACACGCGGAATTACACTCAGAACGTTGTAAATATATCTATTAGCTACGACTGAACAACGTGGGTACCATAGCGTATCGTTTAGTGGGGTTTCTATGCTATATTTTACCATAGCGTCTATCATCGCACCAAACCTTGTAAATTGGAACATTTACATTATTACAATTAATGGAATTACGCGCAAAGTAAAGTTTATTATTATCCGAGTATCTCAGGAACTATTATGCAATTTCAATAAATATTATTTATATTACTATTTTTCTAAATTGAACTATTGGGAGCAAAAGTGGACTTTTGTGCTCTTCATTTGTTTGCGCTTTCATTGTCCACGTTATTTAAATAAACTGAAACTTTTGGAATACTCTAACAATCGAATTACATTAGTTCGTAAAAAATTCGCAATAAATATTACTTAAAAGGGTATGCGTTACTCGTGCAGTTGTATACTTTAACTTCGTGATCACGATGCAGCGTGACATGCCATGCAATACATATTATCGTGTCGACTACGAAATCGACAGGCACCACATCCAATCTTGTATCTCTCCTACCCCGTACCGCCGTTACACATCCTCTGCCGACTAGCAGAAAGGTACCTGGTAATATTAAATTGGTTTAGAAATTATTCGCGATTTTGTATTAGCAGAAATGTACCGTTAAATAGATTGGTAAGAATTCTCGGTATTGTGAGCAACAACAAATTTGAACTATAATAATGATGATCTAGTGGTAAGCCTCTCATTTAGCCTCTAACAAACTAACCAATTAATTCTACTTATGTGAAATGTAAGGAGTACTGAACAATTATCACTGAAAAAGATTTATGTAAATACCTGTAACTGCAGAAATATTCTGTATCCAACCAGGACATGGTTCTTCCAAAGAGGCACCAATTACGCTTGGCCGCACTATCGCAACTGGCAGATCTTTACACTTGCTTGCTACAATCTGCTCTGCTAAATTCTTACTGAATGTGTACGTGTTTGGATATGTTTTTAAAATCCCATTTTCTATTAGATTAATGGACGTTTTGTCTAATTTGTCACAGATATCGATTACCTCTGAAGGACTCAAGCTCGTGCTGCAAAGTCAGTAATAAGTGCACATATTCTTCACGTTATAATTACAAATATAATATTCTTAAACCATGGAACAACGTTTGCGTATAACTTATTCTTACGTATAAACTTTTTCCCCAATCTCACTTAGATTCACATTACTATAAGCTGTACTGACGTGGACGAAGCTAATTGGATGCCTCAGTTCGTTCCAAAGTTCGATAACACGAGCAGTACCTTTCGTATTCACATTAATAGCCACGTGTAACGGTTCGTTGAATCTCACAGTGGCCGCGGCGTGAAACACTATGTTTACTTTCTCTAACAACAGATTTCTATCTTCTCGCGAAAGACCTAAGTCCGGCAGACTCGCGTCACCTTTCATGGGATAAACTCTGCCGAGAGCTGAGGGGTGTTTTCCTTTGATGTCATCGTAAATCTGAAGACGAAAAATTACCAGGAAAGAAAGTTAATCAATTTGGCTCCTGACTGCCTTAAACATTGAAAGGAACAAGAATATATTTACGAACGGGATCATCTATGAGCTTCTTAAATCGTTGTTCTATCGTTTCGTTAGTTTTAGGACGAATTAATATAAAAATGACAGCGATGCGTGGACATATGCGGATAAGTTTTTCCAGGAGACCTTTCCCAACGAAACCGGTTGCTCCAGTCACAAGGATCCCACAACCGGCGTAGAATTCCTCGAGAGAACTCGTCTTATTCAGTCCTTTATTGATTCCATTTTCATTTGTTTCTTTATTGACTGTATCCATGTTTCAGGATCTTCACACTTGAAGTCCCTATATTTGCCATAGATTAACATTCCCAACAATTAGTAAGTGGAAAAATGCTTTAAATGATATAGAAAATTGGTTATAGTTGATATCTTTTTATGGATTACTTTTTAAAGAAGTCTACGGATAATCTTTGCAAAGAGAAACATAATTCAATAATTATGGTTTCGTTTTGCAGAATGAAACAATTAAATAACGATAATAATTGAATAATTTTGGTAGATTTTCACCAAAAAAGAGGTATTAATTTGCATTATTATCTATTACTCCATGAAACAATACCTTTTTTAATCCTTCGGGTAATAGTTGAAACAATATTTATGTAGTTTCCTTTGCCTTTTTCATTTTTTATTTTAGGTGTATGTATGTGAATATTGTAATATGTAGTGGTCAGTGATTTGTGTGGAAAATGTTTGTGGTTTATGCAAAACAGTATTCGATCATATTTAGTAGCACCTGAAGAATGCTTGTTGCGCATGTGATTTTTCTGTCACCATTCGTGAACGCGTGCGTACTTGAAATCTGTATAAACATATTTTATATGTGCTTCGCATTCATTATTTATTTATGTGCCGTTATAGATTTCTATGAGTAAACGGGTTTAATCTATAATTGATGATTTTTCTTAGAAAACGTCGCGCCGGATAGTTTGCATCTCGGAACGTCATAGTCTTCTTCTTTACGATTTGCACGAGGTAAGCTGTTGTCCATCTATCGTTCGTGTGAAAACAAGTGAAAACAAAGCGCAATTATCTTATTCTCCATTTTCATCTTAGTTTAACTTCAAGAATGTGCTATATTTTATATTATCATGATTGTGCATATTATATTGCATTACGTTCTACGTCTTCTAGTTTTGTAATTTGTTTTCTGCGTGATCTTTACAATACCAAGCCTTCTATTTCAGAAATTGCTCTTTTATAGAAATTTGATACGTTAAATACTGTACACATATATATGTCGGAGATGAAAGGACACCGAGTCATTTCCTTTGGAACTTTGGGAAAATCTCCTAACATTATAATCTAGATTCTAATCATAGCCGTAATTTTCGTAAAAGCAATTTTCGTCATTCAATCCGATTGTATTTTTTTTTTTTTTTGTTTGGTTGTTTACATTCACAATTTGTTCGATTTGGACATTTGTTAGAATTTTTTGACTGATTGATTATCATGTGGATGGCTACCCCCAGTGGGGTACCATCTTCGTGTTTGTTAGGTTATATCCTTTGTGAGATCTGTTGGGTGTTTCCTGTTTAGTCTTCTTTCTATGCTTCATGGGTTGATCGTTTCCGCTGCCAGCCGGTTCGAGTGCGTTGTTATTCTTTCTCTATACCTTCTTGCGCATCTGCTAATCTCTTCC